AAAAAAAAAAACAAAAAAACAGGCTGCCAAAAAGGAGAAGGACTAAGATGGCAATATGTACTTTCAATGCAAACGCTTCAACGAAAACGGACGCTTGCATCGGGAGCGTGTATAAGGATCTGATGATGCAAGCCAAGAAGTTCATGTGCATCGGACTGACCGAAACGGGGGGCATCGCTCACTGCATTCCGTATTTGAGGTTGGAGAAGAACATGCGATAGCAGAAGCGTCGGCGGCGTAGGTGTCCTCGTCAATGAGCACTTACCCTTGAAGATCGACTCGCACGAAAGCTTGACAACCCGTTTGCAATTAAGAAGATGTGACTCAACCCCAGCTCTAACAATTTTCTTTGTCTAAGCACCAACATCAAGCTACGAGGAAGAGTAGTTGGAGGCGACTATAGATCTAGAGCAACTCTACAGAGAAGATCATGTTTTCTTCAAGATCATTGTGATGATTTCAACGCCAAGATCGGCCCCAGAGGAACGTCTGAAGAGCTCCACATAGGGACTCACGGAATGGAGATTAAGGAATGGAATGAGCACGGAGAAAGGCTGTCCGAGTTTATCATGTCGAACCACCCTATCCATGTAACATGCAATTCCAGAAACCCTCTCATTTGCGATGGGCATGGGAGTCACCTGGTGGACGATAATGAACTAGACCACATCATCTTTAACTGATTTTGAGATTTTGCCTGAATGTTGTCGCTATTGTTGCGAAGTTTTACATGGGATCGAACATTCCTCTCCTTCGCGCTAGATTCTGTTTCTCAGTCGCAACACACATGACGTCCTACCTCCAGAAAGAGAGAATTCCCAACCACTGGAGGTTCTCGCGGAATGTCATTCTTCACAAGAAAGAGAGAATTCCCAACCAGTGGAGGTTCTCGTGGAATGTCATTCTTCACAAGAAGGGAGACGGAATGATCTTTGCAACTACCGCCCCAGAAACTTGTTGAATGTGCTTCACAAACTGTTTATGAAGATCATTCTACTCATATCGCGAACATTGAATGAAGCCTAACTTCCAGAGCAACCGGATTCCGAAAGGAGATCAGCTGCTCAGACCACAACCAAGCGGTCGCAATGGTCATCGAAGTGAGCCGAAAATTCCAATGCCTCTTTTCTTCACCTTTGTTGACCACGAAAAACCTTTTGACAGCGTCTGAACGAATGAGGTCCTGTCAGCACTGGCCGATCAAGGTCGATCAAGAAGTGGACCCTCCCTAGATAAGAATACTAGCTGACTGCAGAAGTCGCTGCAACGCGACGGTGAAGCTGGTCCAACTATCTCTCCCCATTCCAATAGGGAAGAGTGTGAGACGAGGCGACACTATTTCGTCAAAGCTGCTCACAGCCGCGCTGCAGTGGGTCACGAAGTCGCTAGACTGGGACGAAAAGGTTATTCGTAAGGTTGGACGGTTCCTCTCGAGCAGCGTTGCGGAAAAGGAGACTACGCTTGCTGAGCTTAATAGGGCAGGAAAGAAGATAGGGCTGCGGACCAACCAAACAAAGACACAGTTTATGGAGAATGCTTGGACTGACGAAGGTCAAGATCAATGGTAGCTTTACCAAGGAGATCTCGTCCTACGTGTATCTCGGGCGTTCCATGAATATGAACAACGACGTGAAGGAAGATCCGGTGAGACGGCAGAAAGCAGCGTGGGCAGCGAATATGAACAACGACGTGAAGGAAGATCCGGTGAGACGGCAGAAAGCAGCGTGGGCAGCGAATATGAACAACGACGTGAAGGAAGATCCGGTGAGACGGCAGAAAGCAGCGTGGGCAGCGAATATGAACAACGACGTGAAGGAAGATCCGGTGAGACGGCAGAAAGCAGCGTGGGCAGCGAATATGAACAACGACGTGAAGGAAGATCCGGTGAGACGGCAGAAAGCAGCGTGGGCAGCGAATATGAACAACGAC